ATTAGACTCATTAGACAGGGTCGGGTGGTAACCGTCATTCATCTTGAGTTTGAAGAGCAGCAAGAGCCCGAAACCCGGCCGGGTCGTTGTCTAGCGTTTCGGATACACTATGATCCCTAAACCCCAAACCCTAAACCCCTAAACCCTAAACCCTAAACCGACTATGACCTCGGTCGTAAGCGCGGAACCCTCAACCCGGCCCAAGAGGAACCCCATCACGAAAGAGCCGCTCCCCAATGCTGTATGGATCTCATGAATTAGGGGGGTTTAGGTTTAGGGTTTAGGGTTTAGTTTTTAGGGTACCCGGTGTTGTCCCTGTATGATTATACCACAACGCCGAAAGCCTCGTCTATCCTACGCTACGTACTTCTTCAAGGCCACACTAGCAGACCAAGGCCGATACCTGAAGTGCTAAAACCCCAAAGCCCAGATGTTGAAGAGGTTCGGGTTTAGGTTTAGGGGGCTGAGGGTTTTCGGTCAGGGTTTAAGGTTTGGGGTTAGGGTTAAGGCTTTGGGCGTAGGGTCGTAGGGTGCGGAGTTTGGGGTCAAAGCTTAGGAATCAGGTTGAGGTCAACGACGCCCGGAGGAAAGTCCCTTGTAGAATCCCATCTAAAACCCACCTTGAACCCTAAACCCTAAAACCTAAACCGAAAGCCTGAAAGGAATATCGACAACGCCTTTATCGGCCGCCTGAGCGGGACAAGGGCCCTTGCAGCCATGAGTCCTGGCAGCGTGACGCTTGGGCTTGTCTTGGGACCCTGAAGGGATTCCTTCAACACAGTTTAGGGTTTAGGGTGGTTTTCCTAGGTAGTAAGGGTTTAGGGTTTAGGGTTTAGGGTGGTTTTCCTAGGTAGTACTAGGGAGAGGTAGGGTTTAGGGTTTAGGGTTTAGGGTACAGGCAACCCCAACACTTGACAACGTAGTTCAGTTCTCGCGTAGTTTTGACAGTTGTGCCGGGCATGGGGGGGCAGACGACCCACACCGGGCTTTCTGCCAAGCGTCCCGGAGGGGGCTAGTTATATACCTCGGAACTGTGTTCCCCAACTCTCGCAATGGAGTTCATGAGTGCATCGGCCGAGACTGACCTTTGAGGGCATTTGATGTATTCTCTAGAGTCATGTGGGTAGTTCTCTTAATTAGGGTCCCGTTTTAATTGTAGGTGCCCCGAATATAGTACGGCAGCCTTATAGAGAGGAACCCCAAAGGCACCCTAATTCAGAGAACGATTGTTGATGATATAAATCCTGCATTACCTTAAGGACCCTACACTATGAGAATTATGGTATATTCCTTATTATTGGGACCTTAAGGATCCTAAACTATGGGCATTATGGTATATTCCTTACTATGGGTAACGCAGGATTTATATCATCCTAAACCCTAAACCCTGCAAGCGGATGGCCTGCACGGATACGCTGTAGTTGCCCACGCCGCTTTTTCCCTGTCCAAAGCAGAAGCTCACCTTGTGCTGCCAGGCTCGAACGTGGCAGGTCCTAAAGGTCCCCTGAGCTTTCTAAGCTTTCTCGAAAGGAAAATGACTTCGATCACATGTATGCAGACACGAATGAGAAGTCTGGTGCTTCGCACTTGCATCCCACCCAGTCCGCAAGGTAGTAAGGACTCTCTTCTTGTTTACTTTGCTGAAGCTCTGCTGCTGCGGTTGTGGTCTGCTGTAGCGGGTCCATTCCAGCCACATTCCGTCTGCGGGCACTGCGCATTTGATCGTCCTCAACAATGCGCCAACGGTGTCCCATCTTGTAGAACATATCCAGCTCGTGGTAGCCATTGGCCTTGGTTAAAGAATTGCTCAGCTGCGCCTCAGAATGCACCCAGCGAATCTGAACCTGAGTATCTTGCTGTGCTTGCTTAACGCTCAGTAATTCGATATTTGCACGCTTCTCCGCCCCCTTGATGCTCATGACCTCAGTTTGAAGCTTGTCGTACACATTTCTAGAGTCTGTCACCACACATCCGCTCACACGTCGTACGGTCGACGTGGGATCGTTAGTGTTGACATGACCAAACATCAGCTCAGCCCACTGAAACCTCGCGTAGTAAAGCTCGTCTTCCCCATTCACAGCTGCCAACGTCTCAGCTGCACCTGGACTGCGGCACACCCTATCGATGCGATGGGAGTGCCATGCCACCGGAGTGACAGGGCACACTTCGCCCTGAAGCAGGCTCAGAGGAGCCAGTCCGATCATGATACCTTGTGTACTGCCACCATCTCTACGATTCTGACTAGCAGCGTCCACCCAGGCAAATAAACCCAACTCAACTTCAGGAGGAAAAGGGTGTATGAGCAACTGGTGATCCTTCTGTTCCTTGACACGCCGTAACAAGGTGTTAGCCTGAATCAAAGTAGCGACTGTACTGTGATTGGTTTCAGAAAGGAGGAGTCCAACGGGTGCTGACGCATGTGGTGCCACCTGTTGGGCGTGCCAGCTCAAGGCCCCTAAAAGGGCCCTAAGCTGAGTCTTCTCCCACCCTGTGGTAGGCTCGTTCAGCTGTTTGCGTCGGCTGCTGTTCACTGGAATTTCAGGTATGGCCTCAACATACTGTGGCTGGGACAAGCTAAAACCTCCATTGGTTGTCTTTTGCACACGCACGCCACACTGGACAAAGTCGTCCTTGTCCCAATCGCCCCACTGAAAACGATCCTTGATCTTCTGCACGATGCTTTGCCACCCTTGATCCTCTTGACCTCCTGTGAACAGAAATCATCCACATGTCCAGATACGACGGCACGAACTCGTCCTTCCGGCCGCCACACCCATGTGCACGCATCTGACCACAAACGTTCTAGCCCCAACTCAGCAAGAAAATCTGAAACAGTCTTGTACCATTCCAGAGGCGCGTCTACCAAGCCGTAACAAGCTTTGCGCAGCTTCGTGATGGTTCCCTCTGGCAGGCCCATCTGCTGGCAGATCTCTGGGCAAGGCACGCAAAACAACTCGCCCGGGTAATCGCGGCCTTGGAGGAACGCTCCAGACACATCTCCTTTAAAGACATGCCAGTTGTGCACAGCAGCAATCTGGAGGAGATATTGTCGGCTCTGACGGGTCATGACAGGAGCTGTTGTAGCACAATGTTCATAGCACGGGTCTTGATAGCCCAAAAGCACCGCCCGTGCTTTGGGCTTTCGTGGCCCGTCGTCGCGTGTTTTCCACGTCAGCACCCATCTCATGCCAATCGCCTGCTCGCGTGTAGGCCTCAAGTGAGATGGCAAGGCCTCAAAAGCTCCAGCAGCTATAAAGTTCCTCACTTCAACCATTTTAGCTTGCCGGAAGGCCTCTCGCTCGTCTGGAGTTAGTCTCTTTTCTGAGACCTCTACTGCCTGCCTCTTCATGGCCCCCACGAAGTAGGACCGCAGGTTTTGAGTCGCCTTGTTCCACGCTCGTCCTGGTTCGGGCAGGTCAATGCCCACTTCCACAGCTGCGTGTGGATCTCGCCAGTAGGTGGAGTCAGAGGAGCTCCAAGACTCCTCACGAACTGTCTGGTACCAGCACTCGGCCTTGTCCGCGTAGCCTTGGGGCGTTGAGGTCGCTGTTCTGGACCGGGCGGGGCGCGATGGCGCCGAAGGTGTAGGACCGTCTTCCTCGTCCCAATTGGCATCCTCGGTAGTCTCGGGAGCTGCGCGCTTCCGACGCAGACGATACCGAACAGGAGGGACCTCCTGCTCGATATCTTGCGCTCGCAACCACTCTTCTTCGGCTGGCTTGTCGTGAGAGTAGTCCTGGTACTGATTCCCTCCCAGTTCCTCTGCCAGTCGGGTGAAAGTCCAGGGCGTAGGCTCTTCACCCTGTGTGGACGCCAAGGTGTCCAGCAACTCCTCACGTTCAGATGCCAATCGCAGCTGTTCTACGCAGCATTTGATGAGTTGGCGTCCTCGTACGCACCAGACGATCCCACCAGGCTTGATGGTACCGTCTGTCTGTCGTGACTCCATGGCCAGCACACGTGCTGGTCCCAGAAAGCGGCCTTGCTTGGATCCTGGCTGAGTTCGGCTTTGTCCTGACTCTTGCGACCGCCAGAAGTAAACAAGATCGCCTGGATGAAAGTCCGCCACTTGGCGCGTCCGTGAGTTCAGGGCACGGCTCACCCGCTGTCGAGCATTCCACTCAGCATGTGCCTTCTCAGCCTCTGCTCGCAGTCGCGCTGACTGCTGGAACTCTATCGAAGCATTCTCGATAATGCTATCGTCAGGCACAGACTGAGGCACATCGATGAATCGGCCCGTCACATCAGGAGCCCGACCAAGCGCATGTTGAACTGGAGAAAACCCTCTAACCTGGTCCCTGTGATTGAACACGGTAACAGCCATGGTGAGAGCAGTTTCAGGGGAGAGTTCGGGGTCATCCTCGCACAACTTGTTGAGAACCGATTTCAAACCTTGAACGGCCTGTTCGCAGACCCCGATCTGCCAATGAGCATCCGCTGGGACATTGTCCAGGAAAATATGTTCTCTGTCACAAAACTCTACAATTCCCTGGCTTCGCAGTGCCCCTGCCGGATCTACACGAAGTGTTCGAGGCATGCCGAAGTACTGGCCCCACGCTTCTCGAAAGTACTGGAGGCAAGTCGCAGTGTTTGGTTGCTGTTTCGAACCCTTGCTCAACACCTTGGCAACCCTGAACCGCGAACCTTCATCAATCACGACCATGAACTGAACATGTTCATGAGTGCGGGGATGCCGCCAATGGCCAATGTCGGCCGACACCGTGTGCCACTTCGGTGGCAAGGCTTCCAATGAGGAGAGATGACGAGGCTTCACACGACTACGCTCTTGACAAATGGAACATTTGAAGTTTCGGGCCAACTCTAACACTTCAGCACTAGCATTGCGTCGCTTCAAGGTATCTACAAGTGACCGCACACTCCCGTGACCGGTTGCAGCATGCAGAAGATACAGCTGTCGCTTGATCCTAGCCTGTCGTTTACTCTCATCCCTTGGACCAGACGACGACGCAGACAGACCTTCTCCCGCCAAGCATGTTTCCTCACAAGTGGCCCGCGAGCGGGGCAAGCGAAAACCCAACCTCTGAAGTTTCCCTTTATCTTCCGAAGTCAGAAAAGGATGCCCTCGACTTACGTAGGTGCACACCGTGTTCCGAACCCCTTTCCAGGCTTCTGGTCCATGCCAGGCTTTTGGTGAAAACCGAGTCACCTCGCGGCAGACCTCGTGGAACGTCCCTTGCTTCTCCTCGCCAGTTGGTAGGACCTTGCGGCTCTGATTCTGGGTGCTTCCATTCGCAGTAGGTTCTAGGTTCTCTACCCAGAGCCTACCGCCCTCGAACTTGCTCACTCCTATGAGGCAATTCGGGAAGGCTTTGTCATTATGAAGATCACGGTGGAGTTGACATCTACGGTTGAGGTTGATCACCAAGGTCGTAGCTACCGGGCTCTCACCATTCCAGTGCTTCATGTAGCCTAGCAGATAACGAGTGGCTTCCGGAAACTTCTCAGTTTTGCTGGTAATGCCATAATGATTTCCGTGCGAATACGCTCCCAGGACAACGTAATGACTGCGCTCAAACTTCTGGCTACTCATAGCTTCAGTACCATGCACATCTCTAGTCTTGAACATGTTGAGGAGCTGGTCGCAGGTTTCGTGCTTGTAGTCTTCGTTCAACCTACCCTGCCGCGCAAAAGCTTCGATTCCTTCACATTCCTCTTGCTGATAACAGGCTTCAGGCAGTCGTTCAGTGAGTTTTTCACCTACCAGCTCTGGGATCTCAGAGGACAGGTCCGGGGCTTGAGGGCTCCAGGTCGTCTGATAAGTAGCTTCGGGTCCCGCTTGGCCTAAGCAAACTGCACACTTTTGGGGCTTTTGGGGTAACGACACTTCCGAACACGCGCAACAACTCCCTTCACCAAAGTTCCTAGGCAACACACTCGCTCCCTGGCATTCTTGCGCCACAGTTGTGAAGTCCAGCTCCTGAAGAATGGCTTCGGTCGCTCGGCGAGTGAACTCGCGAGTATAGCCTAGAACCTCTCGGTTGGGGACAGTGACACGGAAGGTGAAGACTCTCAGCAAGCCGTTTCTGTGTCGTCAAAAGCTTCCAACCTGTATTCAAGAGCAACCCATCCGAAGACGACCTCAATCCTATGCGACACCCCTTCGCTACCGCCTGAAACAAGTCGTACTTAGTTTGCAGCTGCTGAAAGAGAGGGAGCCGCCAGGCGTGGCATCGGTCTGGCAACTCGATCGTCACATGAGCCCCGCGCTGAACACAGGCATGAAAAATCACACAAGCTCCTACATACTCTCTCATCGCCTGTTCTCTACGTTTCTGAAGCTTGCTACGCTGTTCGGCAGAAGACTGATTGGCGTTCTGAAGAGAGGAAAAGGCAGCTCCAGGGAGGGACATCCACACGTGTGTCGGTTGGCTGTCTTCAAGAACCTGGAGTATCTTACGAACACCCTTGTCAGTAGAGTATTCCCCTCCATTCCAACCGGCAATGCGATCGGCTGCCCCTGGATCTGAGGTTGCGGCTTGCACCGCTTCCGTCAGCGGACTGTCTGGAGAGCACCCAACTTCTAGCAATCGCATACGACCACAGCCTATCAACTCCTGAAACAAACCTGGAACCACCCTCCAAGCTCTGGACTCTAAGCTCTTGGCCTGAGGTAAACTAAGCTGTTGGCTAAGTTTCTGCGATGCACTAAGCTTGGTACTCTCCCCGGACTCATTCTGGCTCAGGCCGCACTCGAGCGTCCCGAGGTCGCCATCATCGTCGAGGGCTGCTTCGGTCCCCGAGTGGTCGCCATGGAAGACGGCTGGGACGTCGTGGTTGCCTCCGTTGTAGGTGCATTTCCTTCGATCTCGGTGTCCTGGTCCTTGCCCTTCTTGCATACAGGTTCCTGGCACCGCTCGGCTTTGAGTGCCTCCACTTCCGCTTGCAACTCCTTGGTCATCGCCGTCAGGGTGTCGATGCGCTCGTCGCGATTGGAAGTGGCCAGAGTCGTTGGCGCACTCTGGGCCGATCCACTCTTGTGGAGCAGGGCCAAAATCGTCTGTCCCGGCTTTGTCGGAGAGTCTGGTTGCAGCTCGGCATCGTCCTGACGCTCGATCCAACGGGCCAATCGACGAAGCCTGGGATCGCTCTCTGTCGGCCTGTCGCGGGCCGTTTGCACCACCCATCGACAGTAGCTCTGGTCCTGATCGTACAGCTCCTGGTAGGTCAGCAGCCCGTGCTTGCCGAAGGACACCGTGTCGCGGAAGTCGCCCTCGGTCAACTCCATCACTCGTTGCATTCCGGCCATCTGGATACGGCTGACGGTCCAGCTGTCCAGATTGCTCATCCTCAACTCCTTTTCGCAGAAGCTGATCAGCGCACTCTTGCGCTCGCGAGCCGCCGCATTCAGGCGTTGAGTCAACTCCTGCAAAGGCGACTTGTCTTTGTTCTTGCCCTTGAGCTTGACACTCATGTCCTCGCCCGTGAGCTCGGAGATCCTGAACGCCAGCTCCACTTTGGTCCATCCTCGAGGTGGTTGTTCTCCCAGCTGGACCATCACCGCACGAAGTTCCTCGCGGGTCAAGTCCGCCATGCTCACAATCACACGATGGAGGAGTTGAAGGTCGGGAAGTGCTGAGCTCGGACCCTGCTATGTGTGTATGTTCATGTTGTAGCTGCCGCTTCACTTCACACTCAGAGTCCCTCCTACTGTGATCTAGCTCATTAACTTCTACAGCACAACTAGTTTCAGCTGTGTGACACCCCTGTCTTGAAAACCCTGCATTGACCTTCCTTTCACCGTCAAGACTCGGATCAGGAAGGAGCTGTCCCTAGCCAGCCGCTGTGACTTGCGACTCGTCGGTAGCCTCTGCACTTGCAGCGGCCTGGCCTGTACATGAAAAAGAGGGACGACTGTGGTTGGCATCTGTAGTGCTCTTGTTCTGCACCAGGTACTCGCTTAAGGATGGAACCGGCCTCGTAGCTTGTTGAGCTCCTTCCAAGATATCCCCAGTGAGAGGTAGCAGCAAATGGCCGCTCGAAGAGCTTTCCAACTGTAGCACCCGTTGATCATCGACCTTGCGGAACACGATGCTGTCGTTGGAGAAATCGATCATGGCGCCGAGTGCCCTGAGGGTTGTAATACTCAACAACACTGGTGCATTGCCCTTGTCCAAGGCATGGATGCGAATCACCCCTGGGCGTCCACCTGCAGCGAGACGAAGGTGCAAGGTCGACAGGCAACGATCCTCAGAAGAGTTTCCAAACCCGAACACTGGCGCATCCTCTGTGTCAACTCGACTCACTCCATTTTGGCTCAAGCGAACCACATGTTCGAGGGCTTCAACCGAGCCCAGTGACTTTGTGGCTCCACAGTCAATGACGGCTTTTCCACTGGTAACCGCCTCGGCCGTGGATATGGGATTCGTTCCGGCCTCATGGAGCTCCAAAGCGGTCTCCCGGTCTTCCTGAACAAAGCAGATGAATGGCGCCATCTCCTTCTGCTGCGATGCCTGTGGCTTTGCGGCGGGACATTCTGCCGCCTTGTGCCCGCTTTGGCCGCAGCGAAGACATAGACGAGGACCACTCGGCTGCCCTGATGAAGAACTGGAGCCACGATAATATTGGCGATTCTGCTTAACTTGCTTCTGGCGCTCGCGAGCTCCACGAAGGGTGCGGCGCGCGGTCTGCACCGCCGCCATCGCTTGTTGTAGTTCTTGTTGTGTCTCACCCCAAAGGGCCAGACCCTCTTCGTTGAGCTCGGCCTCTGCATCGAAGGCGGTCTCCTGGATGTAGTCATCATCTTGCTCGTCCTCATTCGCCCCCAAGTAGGCCTCTCCCATGAAGCCTTGCCCTCGTCGATGACTGTCTCGCTTCTTGAGGTCGCCGTCCACAAAGTGGTTGCGCAGTTCCTGCGCAACACGTTGTAACCTCATGTCACCCTGTGTAGCCACCATCACCGTGTTCCTTTCCGCTGGATCCAAACCTGCGTCTTGTAGCAGCATCCAAGCTTGTACGAACTCTGGAATCAACTCTGGTAGTTGCGGCTTCGGGGAGCTGGGCCATGTGCCCGCACGACTGCCAGTATCATACCAGCTTGAGCCGCCCCACTGGTCCCATGCTTGATTCCATGAGCCCCAAGAACTTTGCCACTCCCAGGAACGCCATGTCGAAGCCGCGGTGCTTGGTGGCCCTGAGCCACTCACCGGCGCGGCTGCCTGGGTATCATCATCTGCCGCCGGCTCGCTAGCCTCGGTGGGGGCCTCATTGCTAACCCAAGAGTCTGTGCTGAGACGTCGTCCTTGACGAGGTTGCCACTCCCATGTAGTAGCATAGGCACTCGTACTGGTGCCTCGTTGATCGTGATGGGGACGAACTCGGTCCATAGCTTGTTGCGCCCTCACATACAGCTCACACTTACGACTGATGTAGTCCCCCATGAACTCCCCAGGTTTGCGTCTTGAGTTCTTGAAGTACTTGCTAAGTAGTTCTGTAAGTTCAGGCACCTGAGGTTTGCCCAGGCATCGTCGGAGGTGACTGAGCAGATGTTCAACGCCACCAGAAAACGACACCCAGTCCGGAGGCTGTCCAACGATCAACCGACGTGCCGAGCCTTGAAGCTCGCTCACCAGGCGTGGAGCGACGAGGTACCTCTTGTGGTAAGGCGTCGCCTGTTCAAAGAGCAGTGCGGCCTCGCAGTATGATTGAAAACTGTCAGCAGCACCATTCCATGAAGGTACTCCGTCACGTCCCTTCTGGCTTCCACTATCTCCTGTATCCTGTGCCATCCACTGGATTCCCGCTGAGGGTGAGTACCGTCAGCGAGCTGAAAATAGAAACTGCCCTAGATCGTTCTCGAGCTCCTCAGAGCTCCGCTACCATGCAAGCGGATGGCCTGCACGGATACGCTGTAGTTGCCCACGCCGCTTTTTCCCTGTCCAAAGCAGAAGCTCACCTTGTGCTGCCAGGCTCGAACGTGGCAGGTCCTAAAGGTCCCCTGAGCTTTCTAAGCTTTCTCGAAAAGAAAATGACTTCGATCACATGTATGCAGACACGAATGAGAAGTCTGGTGCTTCGCACTTGCAAACCCTAAACCCTAAAGCCTAATCCCTAAACCCTAATGCAGGATTTATATCATCACCCGTCCCCATACGTCCGTCGCACCATAAGACCTGGAGTCCAGGATGCAGATTCGGAAGCCCTGAGGGTTTACGGCTTAGGGTTTATAGGGTTTATAGGGTTTATAGGGTTTATAGGGTTTATAGGGTTTATAGGGCTTATAGGGTTTAGAGGGTTTAGAGGGTTTGGTGGGTTTAGAGGGTTTAGAGGGTTTAGAGGGTTTAGAGGGTTTAGGGTTTAGGGTGCTTGACATAACAGAGGGGCTAAATTAGTCAGTCACCGGGACGTTTTCTTGGGGTTCCTTAAATGAATGGAACCGCACTACAAAAAGACATCCCAAAGCCACACTCGGATTGCAAACCTCTAAACCCTAAACCCCTAAGCTCTAAGCCCAACTGATTTTTTCCTAATGACCGAAGCCCCCTGGCTTCGAACCCTGGGTGTCTTGTCGGAGTCCGAAAGCAAACATGCTTCGGGTTCAGGGTTTAGGTTTGTATAGGGTGTTGCTACAGTATGTGAGCCATTCTTGCTGAATCTTGTTCAGCCAGGCTTCTGGACTACCTCCTCTATCTTTTCATCTTCCTTCCGAGAGCAACGACCGGTCTGGCTACAGCCTCGAGACACTCCTTCGGGTTTTGGAGTTTCGGGCTCAGGTACTTGAAAGGTACATTAAAGTATTTGGACTTAGCAATGCAGGTTTCTAAATGGGCTGACTATAGTGACATCAATGTGCTCATAGCCTTAGTTGCCAACCCTAAACCCTAAAGCCCTAAACCCTAAACCCTAAACCCTAGACCCTAAACCCCTAAATTCTAAGCCCTAAACCCCTAAACCCTAAACCCTAAAACCCCCCCCCCTTTTAAGTAGGGCCTTGGGTGAGCCTCCCAGCTTCGGTGCCGGGACGCTGAGGGCTGCAGTCCTTCAGCGCCCAACCCACGGACTCCCGACCGAAGAATCCCCAAGCACTGCGCCCGAAGGGTGTAGTGTTTTAGGGTTTAGGGTTTAGCGTTAAGGGGTCCTCAGCCTTACATCCGAAACGCTACTGCCGTCTTTTTGGGAGTTTAAAGTTTAAGGTGTAGGGCTCATGGTGCGAAGTTCAACACCAAGCACCCTGAACCCCCGAAGGCCTGCAAGAGGTGCTTGCCCGGCACCGTTATCATGATTATTGTCATATCCAGTGTTGTTGCATGTTCGTATTACGGCTGGTATTGTGGCGTCGATTATCATCATGTTGTTATTCGTGCTATATTGTTATTGATTGTTGTATCCGTCGTCATTGTTAAGCTGTCATCAGCATCATCATCATCATCGTCATCATCATCATCATCATCATAATCATTATCGTCAGCACCATCGTCTCGTCGTCATCATCACGTAATCGCCATCATCATCGTAATCGTCTTCATTATCACCATCATCATCATCCTCATCATCACCTTCTTCATCATCATCGTCATCAGTATCGTCATCGTCATCACCAACTCCGTCATCACCATCCTCACCCTCACCTTCACCTTCACCTTCATCATCATCATCATCACCTTCTTCTTCATCATCATCATCAGGATCATCATCATGGAGCTACTGACCTCAATCGCCTGTCCTTCAAGTTATGGCGACCAGTAATCGGCTTGGAGTCTGCATCCCCCGAAAGAGACCCTTGGCGTGGGGTTTAGGTTTGGGGTTTCTAGATTCAGGGTGAGCTTTAAGGTTTAGGGGTTTAGGGTTTAGGGTTTAAAAGTAGAGCTTGAAATTCAGAACTCAGTTCAGTCTGGGGATGAGGTTTCCGGTCTCGTCCTTGGGATCAACTTTCCTTGAGCCTCTTTTGCTGAAGCCGTGCCAGTCCAAAGCAAACCCAGCGCACCATCAGTGCGTCTTTTGCCATCATGGCCTTGGCGCTCACGGGGGAGAAGCACTACGAAGAAACGGACGCTCGGCAGCAAAAGAGTTTTCGAGCTTAGTTCGGATGGTAGGTATGATTCCTAAAGGGTTCCTGGTTACAAAAAAAAATACTAAAAAAATACTGTAAAGATTCCCCGGAACCCTGTTCCAATTATGAAATGTACCCTATATGAGAAGAATCTGCGGCAGCGAGCCCCAAACTCCATTTGTCAGACGTTTCGGGAGCTCCTTCACAGACTCTACATGAAGGGACCACACAAGGTTTAGGGTTTGGGGTAAATTCGGGCCTTAATAATTAGAACAGGGTTCTGGAGCCCATTATACTATACTTGTAATAAGGAACCACCAAAATAGTATTGGTAATTATTCAGGCCCCTACATTAACTCTGTTCTGGTCTCGTGTTGAATTTTGTCACGCGGCATACCGGCATGCTTCCGATTGAGGGTTGCAGCTTCGGGGTTTTTGGGGATCAAGGTTTTCGTGATGTCGCACAGTACGAATGAGTATTTCCTCTGATGGTTTTGGCAAGTGCAAACACGACCTTCTTTCCCAGTGGTTGCTAACACTCAGTATAGAAGAATATATGTCTGTGGATATGTATGTATGTATGTATGTATGTATGTATGTATGTATGTACATATGTATGTATGTATGTATGTATGTATGTATGTATGTATGTATGTACATGTATGTATACATATATATATATGCGTGTGCTATCTGTAATGTTGTTTATATACACATGTATTGACAAATACGCGCATATACAAAATAATATATAAACATATGTGTGTGTATATATATATACGTATGTGTGTATGTGTGTATATATATATATAAGCATACATGTACATATATATATACATACACATACATATGTGTACATAAAAATGTACACATATATGTACATATATATATATATGTACACATACATATGTACCTATATATTGTTGCGCCCTTTCACAGCAGTCTCGATTTCCACATCCCGAACCCCAGCTCAGGTCAAAGACAATGACTGCGACTGCGCTGCAAGTTATGACGATCACTTTACAATCCCAAAGCTTAACCTTTAGGGGGCCAGTACGTAGCTTCCCTAGTCAGAATATAGCTTCTTTTGCGGAGGGTAAGGGGAACTCTAACCCTGATCCCGGGCTGCTGTAAGATTGGCTTCGGTAGTTGAGCAGTGGTTTAGGACTTCGGGGCCCAGGATGATCGGGCTCTTGTCGGATGCATCTTGCCGCTGTCCTCTTTCGGTTTAGGGTTTAGGGTGTAGGGCTTAGGGTTTAGGGTTTAGGGTAGCTATTGTCCAACGCTGTCCAACGAATACTGGCTTCAGTCCTGCTGCAGCGGTCATCGCAACGTGAGTTGTCGCGTCAACACAGCAAGCGGGGAAGCAAAGGAAGCGGCCTGAACCCTAAACCCTGAATCCCTAAACCCCTAAACCCCTAAACCCCTAAACCCTAAACCCTGAACCCCTAAACCCTTTTCCCTAAACCCTAAACCCCAAAACCCCTAAACCCCTAAACCCTAAACCCTGAACCCCTAAACCCTAAACCCTAAACCCTATTTGAGGGCTCACGGGACCTGGCACGAGTAAGTAGGGTTGTACGCACCTTAGTTTGGGTTATGTTCCATTACAACTATGGTTGCCTTCTTATACCACTGCTAAAACCCAAGCCCTAAAGCCTCAACCCCTCAACCCTAGACCCTAAACCCTGAAAATATGACCCTTGGATTAAGCAGGAGCCTCCGCAGCCTCAGCATAGAGTATCCTTCGACTTGCACATAGCACGAGGTTCTGAGGTCTGAGCCCAAATTCGGGCAACGAGTGGCTTCAGGGTGGGGTTTGGGGGTTTAGGGTTTAGGGTTCTAGGGCTCAGGGGCTCGAGGGGTTTAGGGTTTGGGGCTCGAGGGGTTTAGGGTATTTTGGAGCTCCACTTGGTGTGTCTTGATCCCCGACAAAAACGGAAGCCCAGCAAGCAAGTTAACCTGGAAGCCCTCAGCCCCAAACCCGTAAACCAAGACCAATAGTCCTTCAGTAAGGGGGTCTCTTCAAACTATAGTGCGGTGGTATTGTAACCCTAAACCCTAAACCCTAGAACCCTAAACCCTAAAACCCTAAACCCTAAACCCTATGTTGGGCTCTTGGGGAAGACACAGAAGCCTTCTCCGCCCATCCAGGTATGGTGATTCTGTTCACTGCAAGTTGGTGACCTCCCTGCAAATCGTTCGGCCCGAAATATCAGGAGCCTTGTCAGGAGAAATGTCTGAAGTCCCCTCCTGGGCCGTCGTGAGGTTGTGCAGACCCCATAGTAGTTGAGTTGTGCAGTGCTAGTACTGCAGCCACTTGCTGCTTCTTGCAGCTGCTAGCGGCTACTAGCTGACACTAGCTGGTCTTTAGGTACTGTTAGCTACTTCTAGCTTCGACCAGCTCTGCCGGCACGACTGTATTTGCCTGCTGCAACTATTACTGCTGCCACGGCCGCGAATGCTGCTAATACTAGGAGTAAACCTAAAAATACTACTACTGCTACTGCGGCTGCTGCTGCTACTGCTACGACGCCACTGCCACTGCCACTGCGGCTACTGCTACTGCTACTGCTACTACTACTGCTATGCTACTTCTACTGCTACTGCTACTGCCACTGCCACTGCCACTGCGGCTACTGCTAATGCTATTACTACTATGCTGCTGCTGCTGCTGCCGCGGCTGCTGCTACTGCTGCTGCTGCTGCTGCTACTACTAGCGCTACCTGC